ATTATTATTATCACTTTATTATCATTATTATTATTGTTACTATTATTGTTATCATTATTATTATTATTATTATTATTAATCATTATTATCACCATCATCATCATTATTACCCTGTATTATTATCATCCTCATTATTATTGAATATTATCATATCAGATGAAAACCAAGAAAGACCTGGCTGGATGGGGTTAAAAAGGTCCTGGAACAACATAACATATTATCTATCACAGACGCTACACACCTTGTACAGGACGAAATTTGCACCCCCCCCCCCTCGACATTCTAAGGATACCAGAGGAAGGAAAAAGTAAAAAATATTATTATCATCATCATTATTATTATTACACTGTACTATTATCATCTTCATTATTATTGACTATTATCACCATCACCATAATATTAATAAGCGCTCAAAGACATTTGAATCTTCCTATACCAAATACCAGCTCCGTTGCTCGTGTACCGTGCCCAGCCCTGTCGCCCGTTGAACTGAGAAGAACCGCACGCGTAGAAAGCCGCATAGGGCTCTTCCCTGCCCGATATCACAGTACGGCACCCGATCATAAAGACGGGGATTTATTGATTGGTCTCAGATCGATCGTTAGAGTTCAATGAGGCACTGTGGCTACTGACTTACTACTATCTGTCAAGACTTTGGGGACAGCGAGGATGTCTTATCGTTTCTTGGACTGTCCCAAACAGAGCTGGTGGGAACTACACAGGAATTTTGCCGTCTTTTATTTTAAACACTTACAGTACCGAAGGCTCATATCTATATATATAGTGAAAAACCGTCTGGTACCACACCAGTTTAGAACGCTGAAGCCATGGTAGAATTTTTTTTTAAACTTAAAAAAAACCCCATTCAGGTACCATATAGAACAAACATCCTTTGGTATTTACTTCAGTTCGTTGTTTAATTTTGTTTAGTGTGCCTGGTCAAGTCAGCGACTTAGAATTTTGCGGTCCTTAAAAAAAAAAAGATGTAGAATCTACTCGGGTTTTTAGCTTTAGTAAAAGTTTAAGAGGGTGACGTGGCAGAGCGGTTAGTGCGCTCGTCTTCGAAGCGGAAAGTCTGGGTTCAAGTCTCGGTTCGGACACGGATTTTTTTCGCCCCCTCCTGCCCACCCAGCAGTAATGGGTACCTGACTTCGAGTTGGGGAAGTAAAGGCGGCGTGGAAAGGAACTGGCCACCCTACCACAATATACAAGTGGTGAAAGCTTCACAGGAATTTTGCGGTCTATTTAAAAATATGTACTCGAGTTTCTCTAAAAACGTTTCTGAATAAGTATGAAGTCTATTTGGTTTCAACTTCTATCGTCAGGACTCTTCCAAGTGTATCTTCTTCTTGGGTGATTTTCATACCAGGTGTTTGAGATCATAAAATTATTTTCTCTGCACCATTCACCTGAATAGACATAAAGGTCTCGAACATCTAGCTCTCACTGGCAAAACTGAAGGCAAACGAGGTAGGGGTAGGCCTAAAGCAAAACAGGAAGCTACACAGAAGATATGGTATATTTGTTACACACTATCTTTGGCTTAGTTTTATTAAAAGTTTTACAGCCCTTACAACACAATAAACTTAAATAGATCATGAATATTACTTATAAGTGGTGAAGACTGGAAGTATTACAAGAGAGTAACATGCAACGAAATGTTCAAAGAAAAAAGAGAAAGGCGACAGATGTTTGATAGGGATAGTTGTAAAAAAGCAAACCACACTAGGGCACCCGTCAACCACCCACTTATTATGTCTGTATTGGGGTGCTTTTGAGAACTATTTTAAATTAATGTAACCTCTTATTTCTTTTACATGTATATATAAAAACAAGCCAGTGCAACTCAAACTTCCCCTGAGGGAAAACTATAAATGTTGTACCTGTATATCATTTTATTTTTTCCTTATTATCCAAGTACATGAGTATACATCCCAGTCACTGAACATTTCACAAATGAAAAAAGATAAACATTTCTAAATAGGCATAGATCTACATCTAAATTAATGAATGTAATATAGTAAAACAATAAAAATAATAAACATCACATGTATGTACGTTATAAACAGATTCCAAAAAATCAACAACAAAGAAGATGACTTTCGACATCTTGAGTTCATATGAAGACAACAGAAAAACGAACGCAAACATGATATATAACTCAGAAAATGGGGAGGGGGGGAGGGGTAGAGCAAAAGCTGAAAAGAAACAAGGAAAGAATCCAGAGTTCCATCGGGATTTTTCCTGGAAAATCAACTAGAGATTATCAGCTGGAAACTGAACCCAAGGCCAACGACTAGAACATTTGATACAGTAAGTGTATGGTAACTGCATGACGTCATAATATGAGCGCCAAGGGGTGGATGTTAACAGAGAAGTCCAAACTGGGAATCAGGCTTATTCTGCTCACCTCTCTAGCCTCAACAGCAAAAAGTCTGCTTCGACTATCAAGGCACCCCGGAAATAGTTGATCACAAGAGAGTGACAAACATACAAAAGAAGTAGAGGAAAACATGACGATAGTAAGGATGAGGAAAGAAAAAGCAGCAGTTTCCCCCTATGTTGTTCCGGCACAGTATGAGCATGACATTGATAAATCAGCCCATTTACAATTCTACAGTGTTTAAGAACATGTTAATATCTCCCCTTGGAGAATGGCCTAAAGACACTTCAGTCAGTAGCACTGCCCTGGGGGAGACAAAAATGTAAGAAAAAAAAAGTACTTGTATAATTGTATTTCTACAATAAGCCTGCCTCTTCAACTACACAGAAGGAATATAAAATAAGTCTAAATATAGGTACAGTACAGTCGTCAAAATAGTCGAATCTGACTATATATTTGTCATAAATGACAGCATGGCACACCCTGGAAAAAGGCATCAACAAAGATCTGAGTAAAATGTGATGGTCTTGTTTCTTTAATCTTTACCATCCCATAGAAAACATTACAATTTAAGAGGCAACATCACCACTGAGAAAGTCGACCAAGGCTTTGCATACAGATGAGATGGGAACAAATGGTCGCTTTTAAGCACAAGGGGGCTATCTAGCAAAATGCTGTTTTGAGAAAAGAGAAGGTAAAGTTTTTGGACCCTTGTTCAGTTTCTTTAAAAGACAAGGAGGGTTTACTTTGTAACCAAACAAATATACACATCAATGAAACCAAACTTCTCCTACAGGTAGGGCAAAGCCCACTTTTGTTGTAGGTCAAGATTTCTGGAAATTCAGGAAATCCCCGAAATTTGGGTTGGCCCGCTAGTCCTTAAAAGTGACCATATACCGTCTAGCAAGCACATAGCGAAATTGGCAGGATGCAGAAATCTTTTCTTTGTTTGGCAGTAGTAATTTTTTTTGTGATCTGTGCGAATTTTAGGCTATATCAAGGGAGGGAGTTAAGGTTGGACAATTGGATCAAAATATTTCCATGAATTATGTCCCTTATGCAACCTACTATGTTGTGTTTGGGTTTTTGGTAATGGCGGGTGGTTCCTGATTACTGCAAACAAGGAATCGTAGGAATCGAGTCCGAACCTAATTTCTTAATCTGTGTTGTGATAATTTCTTCCGGGTATCCATGATTTCTTCCAGGTGTCCATGATTTCTTCCGGGTATCCATGATTTCTTCCAGGTGTCCATGATTTCTTCCGGGTATCCATGATTTCTTCCAGGTGTCCATGATTTCTTCCGGGTATCCATGATTTCTTCCGGGTGTCCATGATTTCTTCCGGGTGTCCATGATTTCTTCCGGGAGTCCATGATTTCTTCCGGGTATCCATGATTTCTTCCGGATGTCCATGATTTCTTCCGGGTATCCATGATTTCTTCCGGGTGTCCATGATTTCTTCCGGGTGTCCATGATTTCTTCCGGGAGTCCATGATTTCTTCCGGGTATCCATGATTTCTTCCGGATGTCCATGATTTCTTCCGGGTATCCATGATTTCTTCCGGGTGTCCAT